GCAGTTTTTAAGATCAGTTTACATACATTATGTCACAAGAACAGATGATAATCAGGAGCTGACTATAAAAAAAAAAAAAAACAGATATTAAGTAAATAAATAGAAAATATCTCCAAAGGGAATACTGCGGCCTTTTCTTATTATTGCCTAAATTCTAAAAGGCCCTCTGTAGAGGATACAGAGAATTGAAAAAGGATTTTTTTTATCACATGGACCTGGGAGAGATGTCATCACCCTCCGAGCTGCACAGGGAGGAACAGGGCTGACGCTCTGTAAAATGTCTAACAGTCTGTTGGTGTCCTAGACATTGTCTTAATGCAGTGTTTAAACAACCTGGTTTTGAATTTACAAGTCAAGGATGTTCTGGTTATTAAACATTTTTTTAGATTCCTGCACTTTTGTCTTGATCCTTTACTCTCTGCATATACCAAATTAGATAATGGCAGTTGAGCTCTCTCCTGGGAAAGGGAGCGCTAAAAATACAGAGTGTTCCTGCTGCTTGGCTGCTAGGTCCTACGTGCGCTGGGCACACATTGTCTCGCGCGGCCGAAGAGCTTTTCCAGAATACACCATAATTATATAATAGCTATCACTCAGAAGTATAAAGTGCCTTTGGGAGGAAAATAAATGGTCGGCTGACATAATTTTGCAAGAGAGGCACTCAATATTAGAGCAACTAGGAATCACGGTAAACACAGAGTTTCCCAAATAGCAGGCAGAGCCTCTATAGATTTTACCCCCACAAAATTGGCTACCTGCTAACTTCTCTTCCCCTGAGTCTCAGAGCCTCCCGTGTGTCCTAGATTAGATACACAGGGCAGCGTGTAACTTTGAGATCACTCAGGCTTTCAGTGCGTTCTCCCCCTCCTCACCCCTGCTTCTCTCTCTCCCTCCCTCCCACACACCCACAGAAGCAATTCACTACCATTTACCTGGGGAGAAGAAGCCTGATACTTTGGGTGCACATTTCAAAATGAAGCAAAGATCAGGGAGTTATCTGATTACTCACCTTGGTGCATATGCCTCGTTTGAACATATGAGACCCTGTGGTAGCTTTTGCCCTGGATTATGTGCATTGATAATCAAGACTAATCAGATGATTCATCCAGATCCACTTCACTGTATGGTTTTGCATAACCTAAGTACCTAAATTTTTAATGACTATTTCTGTTGGGATAAATGCATACCCTTTTTACCACTCACGGTAATCCATAGCCTAAAGCACATGGAGAAATATCCCAGAATCCTATCTTTTTTTTTTTTTTTAACCATCATCAGCCCTAGAAAGATGAATACATTTAAGGTCTAGATGAATAGAACTGCTCAGCTGCCACTTTCACTGTTTCTCCTTCCAAGTGGTTGTTTTCTATCGTGAAGGTACACCAGTAGTATGAACAACATGGGCAGTGTTAACTAAGAACTTAAGTTTAAATGCTTTAAAATAGTTAATTATACTTTACCCTACAGGAACAGAAAGTGTTTTCTCAGGTCCCTAAAAATGGATGATGAGTGATTTAAAACTTCGTGGATATCCAAAATTTGATTGCCTATTTTTATTTATTTTTTTGTTATACGCAACTAATGAATCATTGAACACTACATCAAAAACTAATGATGTACAACATGTTGGCTAATTGAATTTAAATTTAAAAAATAAAGATTTTATTTATTTATTTATTTATTTATTTATTTATTTATT